CACCAGGGCGGGAGTGGCCGTGGTTTCCCAGCGAACAGCTGGGGCGCAGGCGTCGGGCGGCAAGACCAAGCCCGGCGCGCCAGCGCGGCGGCTGCGAGCAGCCCGTCAGAGCCATGGCGGCGTGCGGAGGAAGGGAGAGCAGGCGGGAGAGGCAGAAGTGAACAGGGAAGACGCCCCGCCTGGGATACCCACAGGCGGGGCGGCAGAGCGGCAGCAGGGGCGCCGCGCACCATCTGGCGCAGGGGGGGAGCGTGGGGGGCAGGCACCCTGCCGGCGCCCAGCGGGGGCAGCACACGCGCACAAACAAACACACACACGCACAGACACACATACAAATACACAGACACACATACAAGCACAGACTGACACTGACACTCATGCTCACGCTCTCACTCGCACTCACGCTCACACGCAGACATTCACATTCACACCCACACTCACACTCAGAATCACAGTCACACCCACACACACTAACACACTTACACACTCACATAGTCACACGCTCACACACTCACACTCACACTCACACTCACACACGCACACTCTCACACACTCACAGTTTTTACTGATGCTTCAGTGTCGGAAAAGTCGCGTAGTCTGCCCCAGGAACGCCGAGAAGCGCCGAACAATCCGTGTGCTGGGCCGCATCACGAGCACTTGCAATACTGACGACAGAGAGCTCGCAGGGACCTGAGGAATCCCCACCCTAATTCCTGCAGCACGGTGGCGGATGAGGTGCGAAGGCGCTTCGCAGCTCGGTCGTGAATCATAGGGCACCGAAGCGGTACATGATCCCCCATGGGAGGGAGGGAAGGAAGGATGGGGAACAGGGACAGAAGAGGAGTCGTGGATCAGCAGGAGAGGGAGGAGGAGGATCAGGAGGACGAAAACGAGGATGAGAAGGAGGAATCATGATGATGGTGGTGATGATTATGTTGCTGATGTTGATGATGCTGCTGATGATGCTGACCCCGGTGGCGGTGGTGATGATGATGGTGGTGTTGATGATGGTGGTGCTGATGATGCTGTTGTTGATGCTGGTTGGTGGTGATGGTGCTGGTGATGGTGATGGTGCTGGTGATGGTGATGCTGCTGATGATGATGATGATGATGATGATGATGATGATGATGATGATGATGATGATGAGAGTTCCGTTGATGATGATGGCGATGGTGATAGTGCAGGCGACTATGGTGAGGGTGGTGATGATGGTGGTGGTGGTAATGACAATGGCGATGGTAATGATGGTGGGGATGATAATGATAATGATGATAATGATGATAAGGATGATAGTGGTACTGATGTTGATGATGGTGGTGATGATGATGTTGAGGATGATCACGATCATTATCATGATACTGATCATACTCATGCTGCTGATGATGGTACTTGTCATGATCATGATGACGATTGTGGTGGTGATGGTGATAGTGCTGCTGGTGGTGATGATGATGTTGCTGATGCTGACTGATGGTGATGCTGATGATGATGATTAGGAGGAGGAGGAGGATGGTGATGGTGACCACGGCGACGATTATGCTTCTGATGCTGATGCTGATGCTGATGGCGATGACGTTGGCGACGACGACGACATCGACGACGACGATGCTCATGATGATGCTGATGGTGATGATGATGCTGATGCTGATGACGATAATGATGGCGATCCGGTAAGAGGCGTGATTTGTTGTTCTGGTCCACTAGCACGCGAAGTCGGGACGGAATTGAATGGGTGGCAGAAGGTCGCAATGTTCATATTCAAGGATTGCGCGGTTTGCTGATTCACTAGTTCCGCTCCCTTCTCTGTACATTTGCCCTTTTCCGCAGCGTCATCCGATTCCGAAGGGCGCCTGATCTGATTGCATTGACGTGGGAAGCGGATTCCTCGCCAGAGGGCACGGGTAGCAATGTGGCATGCGGGAGACAGCGTTGTCCCTCGATCGAACGACTTCCCGTTCCCAGCCATCGCTCTCGCGCGCGAGACGACATGCAATATTTCTGTTAGTGTCGTTCTGGTTGTGTGGGTGGCCACGCGATACTTGTGTTGCAAAGGTCTTGCGCAAAGTATATTGGCTCGGTCGTCTCAGACTGCCCTCAGCCGCACACCCGTCGATAGGAGGCAGATGCGAGCTGCGCTCAGGCGCCCCCCCTCGCGAATGCTGGCGCCAGGGGGGAACACCAACTCGGAGACGAAGATGAGCTGGACGACGAGCATCCAGGCGAGCTCCGAGGTGGAGGAAGGGGAAAGGACACCTACGGTTTGACTGCAACTCCTGGGATGTTGAATTGGTCGTCGATTCCTACATTTCCTTGGTACTACTCTGGCTCAGTCTGGCTCCACCGAAATAAATCCGTTTTATCGGAGACGCCTCCGGCGAGTCGCCGCTGCCCTCTGCCTGTTTGAAACGCCAGTGTCGTGTAAGGTTGAGCGAACGTGCGCCATTCTTGTTGACAGCGTGTTCGCCCAGCTACTAGGGAAGCCCTCAGGGGGACACTGGGAAGGGGCCTTTTTGGGACCAGCTTCGCGCCCTTTTCTGGCCTTCAGGATTTTCTTGGCATCGTCGGAGCATCTTGGTGCCCTTCAGGGCCGTCGGACGGCACTCTTAGACCGTCTGGCGCTGTCGAATGCCGTCTTGGGGCCTCTCTGGGCCGTCTGTCAAGGGAGGAAAAACCACACGGACCCGATGATCGGCGTTTGCTAAACGGCCCCGGGCGTTTACTAAAGAGTCCTGCCCCGTTTGATTCCTTCTGTCGGTGCGTTTACTGAATGGCTTCGCGTGCGAGGGTGATTCTCATGCGGGTGGATTTTCTGCCCTCTAGTCTTGGGGTTCGCTTGGGGCCTCGCGAGGCTGTCTCGCAGGCCTTTTGGGGGCCTCTTGGTGCGTCTTGGGGCGATCTTGGCAGCCTATGGGGCCGTCTTGGAGCGCTGGAAGCTTTAAAACGCGGGAACGCTAACATCTGTCAAACCTTGAAGGAAATCAGTTGCTTTGGCCTCGTGGAGGTCCTCTTGAAGCCCTGTTGGGGCGTCTTGGGGCCACTTGGGTCGTCTGGAGGGCATCTTGCGCTGTCATGGGTGTGCATCTTGGGCAATCTTGGAGACGTCTTGGGTCCATATGGGGCTCTCTTCGGGCCATCTTAGCCGTATTGGAGGCTATCTTGGCCGTCCTGGAGGCCATCTGAATGCCGTTTTGAGCGGGAACACCGATGGGTGGCAAGCCAACAGCGGGCGGCGGATCAAAGACGCCTATGACGAGTCACCGCCGCCCCCCTGCTGCTGTGCACGAATGCTGCATCCAGAGTTCGGCAAAGCTGTCGGAGCATGTGCTCCCTCAGCCGCTGTGAAAACCTTCTGGGAACACGTGGGGGAGAAAGAAGAAGAGGAGCATGAGGAGGAGGAACAAGGAGGAACAAAGAGGAGGAGGAGGGGCCTCTTAGGAGCCTCGTGGGGTACTCATGAGGTCTCCTAAGAGCTTCTTGGGGGCCTCTTGGAGGCCTCTTGGAGGCTGTCTTGGTCTTCTTGGGTGCGTTTGGAGGCTCCTTGGGAGGCTCCTTGGGAGGCTCTTCGGCGTTTGAGGGCGTCCCTGGCCCGTCGGAAGCCGTCTTGGGAGCCTCTCTGAGCCGACGTGGGGCCCACTTGTTGCGCTTCAGGGCAGGCTTGGCGGCAATCTTGGTCGCCATGGAGGACTCCTGGTCGTCCTGGGCCCCCCTGTCTTGGGGACCCCGAAGGTGATGATGATGATGCTGATGATGATGGTGCTGATGATGATACTGACGATGATACTAATGATGATGGTGATGATGATACTGAGCATGACGACGACGATGCTGATGATGATGATGCTGATGGTGATGATGATGCTGATGGTGATGATGATGCTGATGATGAGGAGGATGCGGATGCTTGTGATGGTGATGATGATGCTGATGGTGATGATGACGGTGATGGTTATAGCGTTGGTGACGGTGATGGTGATGGTGACGGTGATGATGTTGATGACGATGATGTTGCTGATGATGTTGGTGATACTGATATTGATGCTGATGCTGCTGTTTCTGGCGATGATGATTGGACGATCGATGATGGCCGAGTGCCGATGATGATGATGACGATTATGATGGTGGCGTTGGTGGTGGTGATACTTATGCTCATGATGTTGATGATGCTTGTCACGATGATGTTGATGCAGATCGCGATGATGCTGGTGGTTGTGGTGATGGTGATTGTGATGGTGATGATGGTGATGTTGATGATGATGATGCTGATGATGATGATGATGATGATGATGCTCATGCGTATGCGGATGGTGATGCGGGTGCGGGCGATGTTGTTGACACTGCTGGTGATGGTGATGTTGACGGTGATGGTGATGGTGATGGCGATGTCGATGGCGACGATCATGATGATGTTGATGGTGGTGATGACGGTGATGATGTTGATGATGATGAGGATGATGATGATGATGCTGATGATGCTGAGGTTTGTGTTGATGTTATTGTCGCTACTTCTGCTGTGATATTGGGATTATGACTATTCTTATGCTGCTGCGTCTGCTTCTGCTTCGGTTGTGATATGATATGATGTTGTGGTGTCATGATGAAGATGAGGATGATGATGATGCTGATGCTGCTGCTGCTTCTGATGATGATGATGATGATGATGATGATGGTGGTGTCGGCGGCGGTGATGATGATGGACACCTGTGGTATATCAATGATGTTGGCCTGCTCGGCCTTCCTGGCAGCATGAGGTCATCTTGGACCGTCTTGGGTGCGCCATTGGCCGGTCTGAAGACACCTTGCAGTCATCTCGGGCGCTCTGCGGGCCGTCCTGGCCGTCTCAGAGGCCACGCTTCTCGTCCTGGAGGCCGGCTGCGGGCCACTGTTCGAGAGAGCACCGATGGGATATGCAACATTCTGACCAGCGCGATCGCCCGAGGCCGCACGGGCAGGCTTTAGAAAGGACCAGAACAACCTTCCCCTCCTTCTCCTCCTCCTCCGTCTCCTCCTCCTCCTCCTCCTTCCCCTCCTTCTCCTCCTCCTCATCCTCCTCCTCCTCATTATCCTCCTCCTCCTCCTCCTCCTCACGCCGTGCACATCTGCAGTGGGCCACAGGGGGCGGCGGATCTGGTCGGCTTCGTCCCATTCGCGCCACCGTGCCTGGGTTGTGTGTCACTCTTGGATGCCTCTTGGGGGTGTCTTGGGGCGCCTCTGGGGCTGCCTCGGGGGCCTCGTCGGCCACACTCGGAGGCCTCTCGGCGGTCTTTAGGCGATGTCTGGGGCCATCTGTTACCAGCCTCGAGCGTATTCCTATCCCTAAAAAAGGCGATGACAATCTTAGGGATTCGCCTCAAAAAATAAGGGAATCCCAAAGATTGGCATCGTGATGAGGAGATGCCCAGCATAGGGATAGGGATATGTTCCAGGCTGGTTAATCTGGGCACAAGAGGGCTCCTGGAGCAGTGCGCTCTCCTCCCCCTGGGGGCAACACCACTACCCAAAGCACAACAATGCTTGTTGAACTTGACGTCGGGGAAACCATGCGGACGCCCCAAGAGTCCCGCGAGAACCCCCGGAAGATCTGGCAATGGGTGCTGCGGGCCTTGTAAAGAGTCTTGACAATACTGGTGCCAGTGCTTCCCAGTCATCTCCCGGGGTGCGTGGCCATGATTCCGAGGTCAGTCCAGCCGTGGCGACGAGGACTTTCCAGAAGGCCTTCCAAAGTCGAGAACAATGAAATGGTACCGGTATCGGCGTGTTTTTGCCCCTCTGGGTTCCAACCTCATCCCAGGAACCATCCCAGGAACCATCCCAGGAACCATCCCTGCCGGTTCTGCAGGCCCCTGGGTCAACAACGGGCCCCATGAGCCTGGGACCGCGGGAACAGCTTGAGAGCTTGAGCATCGATCCCGCGATGCCACGATGCCAGCATGCAAGTGGGCTCTTTCATTCCATCATGTCGCTCATGCCGCCGGCCCATGTACTGTTGCTATCTGTTGAAGTGCTCGTTGCGAGTGACAAGGAGGAGGAGGAGGAGGAGGAGGAGAAGGAGGAGGAGGGAGGGAGGGGAGGATGAGTTGGAGGAAGTTGGAGGAAGTGGAGGAGGAGGAGGAGGCCATGGAGAGACGATTACCGTATCGTCAAGCCTCACCAATAAGCAACTGGCACCCTCTGAGGAGGACAGGCGGTGGAGTTGGAGGAGGAGGAGGAGGAGGAGGAGAGGACGAGGAGGAGGAGGAGGAGGAGGAGGAGGAGGAGGAGGGAGGAGGAGGAGGAGGCATCTCGATGGCATCTCGATGGCTTCGGGGGGCACGCCCGAGGACGGCCGTGGGCCGTGGCCGGTGGGCGCCTCCTCCTCCTCTCGGAGAGGCGGCCCGTCGCGCGGCGGCCGCCCGGGGGGGGGCCCGCCGGCCTCGGAGCCGCGGCCGCGCCCGGGCCCGAGGCCGCGACGTGGACCTCGTCTCCTCGCGGGACGCGCCCGCGGACGGGGGCGCGCGCCGCGGGCCGCCGAGCCGCCGAGCCGCCGGGCCACGAGCAGAGGGGGGGGGCGGAGACGCCGCGGACGACGGCGACGACGACGACAACGCCTCCTCCTCCGAGCCTCCTCCTTCTCCTCCTCCTTCTCCTCCTCCTCCTCCTCCTCGATCTGCCTCCTCCTCGTCCTCCTTCCGGGGGCACGCCGCGGGCCGCGCGCCGCCGAGCCACGAGCCACGACCAGGGGGGGGGGCGGAGACGCCGCGGACGACGGCGACGAAGGCGACGACGGAGACAGCGACGACGACGACGATGACGATCGGAGACTGGAACATATACATTACCAGTGGCGTTTTTTTTCCAATCCCAAGACTTTTTGAGGGTCGGGGGCGGGGTCGGGGTGGTGTGGTGTATACTTCCCCCCCGTTTCCCACGGGAAACAACAAAAAATGTATGCAGCAGGATGCCGTATACACCAGGATCCGCTTTCCTGTGCAAATTTCAGTGCAGGGCTGGCAAAAGCGTCGGTGAAAAGAGCTTGTTTCCCTCGACGATGCTCACGTTGATGTTTTCAGCCACGCGCATAGGTGGGGGGGGGTTAGGGGGAGGGGGAGAGGCGTTTTGGAAGCACCCCTGGTTCTGAGAAGGCGCGGGTCTCGTCTGTAGATGCAGTGAGGCCCGCGCTTTCTAAGAAGCAGCTTTCCTCTGAGAAGCCTCCCCCCCTCGCCCTAAACACCTCTGCGCGCCGCCGATCCTCGGGCGGGTGTTTATGGGGGGGCAACTTACATGGAGGGTAAAGGAAACGGCTCTTGAGCGGCCCTTGAGGCCACTTTCGGGCTCCTGCTGGCTCCAAAACGGGCCCTACAGGGCTCCTTTAGGGTCTTTCTCTTCGCCCCCCATGCAGGTCACCCCCCATTACCACCCGCCCGAGCTCCTTGCGCTGTGGAGGTCGTCGGCCGATTGTCGGTTTCTGCACTGTGGTCCTCGTGCTCTGGAGACGGTAGACACGCCCCGCGGTGAAGATGACGGCGCATATGGCCATATTGTTATTCGCTACGCCTGGCGACGGTTGCGCGGGTGCGTACCGCGACCCTGGCTCGCTAACGCGCGCATTGGACATCGACAGGGGTGGGCACCCTGCAGGAGACCGAGAGCTGCGCCAAACGGCCCTGGACCAGGAAGGGACGGGCGGCACGGAAACGTGCGCGAAGTTGCGGCGGCAGCAGTACAGTCGGCCCTGATTAGTAGGTCGACCCTGCCAGATCAAGGGTGCCCTTGTGTCCTGTGCCCCGCGACCCATGCCTTCTCGCATTCCTATGGCAGTGTGGCCCTCGGAAGGGTCTCGTGTCCTCTCGCGTATCCTTTCCAATCAAGTCCGACTGTAACTAGAAAGGCTGCTGAAGCCGCCGCCCCGAGGCGTTTGTCTGTTCAGGGGCGGTGCGCGCCCCGGCAGAACCATGGCGACACCCCTGTGGCTGGAGACCGAACGGGGCGCCACTGGCGACACGGGCCCTGGCCCCGCCCCCGACGCCAGTCCCACCTTCCATCGGAGGGGGAGATGCGACACCAACACCACCAGGGGGCCCACCTCCAGCGAGGAGGTCCACGATGCCTCTCCGAGCTGGAGGTTGGGGATGTCTCGAGCGAGAGGGGGGGGCCACACCACCAGGGAGACCCCTTTCCTCGTTCCGACTTCCAGTCTGGTGCCTCTCCCATCGACGACCAAAGCAGCCCTGCAGGGACCCACTAGTGGCAGCCGGCGCTCCGCTTCGAAGCCTGACGCTGGCCGGCGGCGCGACCCCCGCCCGCGCCGGCCCTGCTCCGCGCCTTTGCGGGGGGGGCAAGGCCGAGGTCGCGGAGGGGCTGGTCGTGAGCGCCGTGCTTGGGGATCCCCCCAGCGCCCGCGCAAGCGCCCCGCCCGACATCCTGCCCCCGACGATTCGCTCGGGGTCGCGGCCGGCGGCGCCCCCGACAGCGGAGCACAGTTGGCAGCCGACTCCCGTGCAAGTCTTGCCCCTGGCGTCGGCCAGCGTCCCCGCCTCGGCCCTGGAGCCGATCGCCGCGGCTGAGCGGGCCGGCGGGGCGCCGCGAGAACCCTGGCGCGGCCAGGAAAGACGCCGACGCGCTGTCTAAACCGCCTCGCGGGCCAGTCCGATGGGAACCCCTCGCTGGCGAGAGGCCTGGCGAGTGCGCCAAACGGCTCCAGCGCGACGCTGGGCCCGCAGGCGTGAGTGAGTGGCACGCTTCCTGCGCAACGCAAGACGAGGGCAGGCGGCGCACCACTTTCAGCCCTGGCAGGGCGTCGGCGGCCCAGTGCCTCGACTTCCGCGGGCCCGCGGCCGCAGGGGACGACGCAGCGGAGTGGTTCGGCCGAGCGAGAGGGCGTGGTGCTTCCGAGGCACCAGCACGGAAGGCGGCACGAGGCCCTGACGGGGGCCCACTGGGCTTGGTCACGGCCGTTGCGCACCTGGACCCGGTACCCGCTCTGGTGTCCTGTCCTGGGCTCGGGTATGACTGGTTCCCCTGCTTCCGTCGCTACGCACCTGGACCTGAGCATGTTCGTGTTGACGGTTGCATGCTTCATGTCCGTCTCTCGCCCTCGCTTGTGCTTTCTGCCCCCTGGTTTCACACGTTGCTTGGCTGCTGTATGCTCCCATGGCTATGTCTTGGCGATCGGTGCCTTGGCGCCGCTCCCATTCTGTTCCTGCTCTTGGCGGTCGGTGCCTTGGCTCCGCGGGCCGGAACGCCACGCCCGCTTGTCGGCGCGCTGCGTTGATCATCCTGTAGCCCCTGGGCGCCGCAGCCCCGGATTGCGCGGCATTGCCCTGCCGGGCCGTTGCGCGTGGAGGTGGATGTCGGCGGTCATGGAGGGCCTGTCGTTCGCGCCCGCGCGTTGCCTGCGCGGGCAAACGCGCCGTTCCTCCATTATCGTTCGTTCGCGCGGGCGTTCTTGCATATTGCGCGTGGGGCGGCAAAGTGGGGTGCAAGTGCGTCTTGGTTGTGCGATTGATGATCGCGTATGTTCCCAAACGATGATTTGCCGACCCCCAATGCAGATTTGGAATGGGCCCCGCGATTCGCCAAACATGTAAATTCACAGTTCCTTTTTTTCATCAAAAATGTGAATTATCATTCCCCTTGTTCCCAAAATGTGAATTCACATTTTGGCCCCTTCTCGTTGATTCCAAAGCATAATTCCAATATGTGAATTCACATTTCCATTTTTTCCTCCAAGTGTGAGTTCACATGTTCCTTTTTCCCAAAATGTGAATTCACATTATGGTTTTCCCGACAATGTGAGTTCACATTTTGCCCTGGCCTTCAAGATCCTGAAATTGAAGCGCAGCGTTCCGCGTGTCAGATTGGCATGGCAGATTTTAACACTGATCTCACCGCTTTCGTGTATTCCAACTTTTTTGTCTGCCCTCAGCGCGCGTTGCCTTCGTCGCATTTTCCCGAACCCCCAGCCCCTTTGCTTCGTTTGCCTTCAAGTTTCGCGCATGGGCGCAGGGGGCTTCAACTGGTTCCCCCGCCGAACACAGCAATCGAGGATGTATCGCCCATGCATGGCCCATAAAGACACCATTGCCGGGACCCTGCGCCCGACCCCCACTTTCACCATCAAAGGAAGGGAAGTTCGGCTGCGGGGGCCGCCGACGCTCCCCCAATTCATGCGCTATCTTCCCATGGGGGCCGTCCCCGCGCCGCTGCTCCCCACGCAGGGAGTTTTCCCAGGGCGCGCGATTCCCCCCGGTCCGCGACGGCCTCGCTGAATTGCTCCCCCAGTCGGAAATAATGATTTTCAGAAAAGGTCCGGGCGCCCCTGCGACGGGGAGCGGAAAATCGCAGCGACAACCGCCAACGACCCCGAGGCCACGAAGTCCGTTGGCGGAGGAAACGATGACCAGGGCTCGAGTGCCGGGACCGGCAACGACCCTCCTGCCACGGCGGCCTCCGTCGAGACGAGGCAGACTCACCCCCGCGGCGGACAAACGAACCCTGGGCCGGGTTCCTCCCTTCCTGCACCGCGCCGCCCCGGACCCGGCGGTTTCCCAGGCCCTCTCCCCCCGGGGCCCCCCCGGGCCCAGGAAGGGCGCGTCCCTGCCGTCCGATGTTCTGTGCGAGCGAAATGGGTACACAAAGAATGGGTACAATGGCCAACAGCAATTCCTGTTCATTTTGAACAGGACTCGTTGTCCGCGCAGCCGCGGCCTGTGTCCATTTGAGACAGAAGGCCACCTGCCCAACAGCGGCCGCTGTCGGTTTGGGACAACATTTGTGGTTGGGCATTGTACCCATCTTTGTCCATACCAATTTCGGGCGTCCCAGAATTCTCATTCGGTGACGCCTCGGCCAGGGTGTGCGGCGGCACGAGGGATGCCAGCGCAGGGTGACGGTTTTTGTCGCCACGGAGGACACCACCGCGGACACCATGAGCGCCCTTCGTCGTCACGGTTGGTATTCGGCGCCTCGCCGCTGCCAAGACGGGGCGGCGCCTGGCGCCCTGCCCTGCGCCCTGCCGAGGCTGCGTCGACCCTGTGGCAGGGCAGCGCCGACGGGCGTCGCCACTGGCCCCCCCCTTCAACGGTCGCTTCGACTCGCCCCCCCGCCCACGCGGCGACGACCGCTGGGGGGGCGGTGCCCCCCAGGGTGGGGAACGTGCCGCCTTTGTCCCAGGTGCCCACTGCCACGACGCCCGTCGATGCTAACGGGGCCCGGGCCGCCGCAATCAAGGACATGCAGCGAGCAGGCGGCGGACCCAGTGCGGCCTGGGCCAGGCATCGTTTTCAGCGCGGTGGGGGCAACCAGGGCCCCTGCCGACGCGGCGCCGCTTTCCTTCGCAGTTTGTTCCGCTCCCTGGTTACGTCGCCTCCCTGATTCTTACGCCACCCTGCACCTATTCGGTGCTCCCCCTGCTGACCTCCATTTCCCGCTCGGGGTCTGCATCTTCCCGCCTGCACTCCTGGCCTTGTGGTTCGCATCCATGCACCTATTCGGTGCCCCCCCCCGCAGGCCTCCAGCTTCCGCTGGGGGCCTGCTCCCCCCCGCCGCCGTCGCTCCATGCCCAGCGGCTGCCTGCCCCGTGGTGTTCCACTGCGCACCGCGCCGCTCCACATCTTTTCTCGCGTTCCGCTGGGGTTTCCCGCCGGCGCTCGGGGTGGTTTCTTGGCTTCTCTGCCGCCGCCCCGGGTCACCCCGCCCAGGGGTGTGCCCTGCGCCTCGGTGGGCTGGTTTTGCCGCCCGCTCGTGGCTTTCGGGCCTCCTCCCCCGCTCCGCTGCAGCGCCCTGTTTCGGCCCGGGGTTCGCCGGCTGCCTGTGGCACCCTGCGGGTCTTTGCCGCACCCTGTGTCGGCCGGGTGACAGTTGCTGCCTTGCCAGCGTCTTGTCCCCAAGGCTGGATTTCAGGCCTCCCAACCAGTCACGGGCTACTGGTGTTTTCAGCTCTGCCGCTCCCCCGTGGCGCCTTGGCCCCGCCCATTGGTCTGCGCCTCGGAGGCCTTCTGGTCTCGGCGCTCGCCTCGCCCCTTTGCCTTCCCTGGGCCCGCCGCTCCCCCTATCGGGTGTCGGTGTGGTCCCTTCTGTTGCTTCCCGCCCACCGGCCAGCGTTGCCGCACTTGGCGCCTCGCTGAGTCGTTACCGTTCCGCCTCCTCGCCTTGCGCCTCGTAGCCCCCCCTGGTGTCGGCGGTCCTGCTCGTCCTTGAGTCTGCTCGCCCGCCATGCACTGGGGCCCTCAGCTCCGCGCCGCTCCCCTGGAGTGGCTCCGATTAAGGGTCGCCGTTCTCCGTCGCTCGCTGAGCTACGGTGCCGCACGTCGGGGTGCTTTCGTGAATTCCCGCCTCTGCCCCTCGCCCCCCGCCGCGCCTCGTAGGCCCGCAGGTCTCGGCGATGTGACTCACCCCTGGGGCTGCGCCCTGCTGGTTCACTGGGGCGGGTCTGTGCTACGCATGTGGTGTTCCCCCACTGGCCGCCCAGTCTGGCTGGGCTGCCTCCCCCCCCCAGCTACAGCTCAGTGCCGGCGCCGGTTCCCCCCCACGCCGCTTCCCCTGCCGCAGCCGGTGGCCTGCCTGAGTGGGCCCGGTTTCCTCTCTCCTTGTCGCGCCGGGGCTACTCATCCTCCCTCGTGCATCGCGGCCTTGATTTGCATGCAGTGTGTCCTTTGTTGTTTGTCCGCCGGAGCAGTCTCCCTCTGCCCAGCCGCCGACGCAAAAAGTGTGTGTGTGTGGTCGTGTGTGTGTGTCTGTGTGTGTGTGTGTGTTTGAACGTGTTTGTGTGTTTGTGTGGTTGTGTGTGTGTGTGTGTGTGTTTGTGTGCGTGTGCTTGTGTGTGTGCTTGTGTTTGCGTGCGTGTTTGTGTATTTGTGTGTGTGGTTGTGCGTCTGTGTGTGTGCGTGTTAGTGCGTTTGTGTGTTTGCGTGTGCGCGTGTTTGTGTGCGTTTGTGTGTTAGTGTGTCTGTGTTCGTTTGTGTGGTTGTGTGTGCTTGTGTGTTTGTGCGTGTGTGTGTGTGTGTCTGTGCGTTTTCGTGTGTGTGTGTCTCTGTTTTCGTGTGTGCGTTTTGTGTGTGTGTGTGTGTTTTGCTGTTGTGTGTGTGGTTGTGTGTGCTTGTGTGTGTGTGTTCGCGTGTGTGTGCGTGTGTGTGTTTGTGTTGTTGTGTGTTTGTGTGTGTTGTGTGTGCGTGTGTATGTGTGTGTTTGTCTGGTTGTGTGTATTTGAGTTGTGCGTGTTGGTGTGATTGTGTGCTTGTGTGCGTGTGTGCGCGTGTGCGTGTTTGTGTGATTGTGTGCTTGTGTACTTGTGTGCTTGCGTGCTTGTGTGTGTGCGTGTGTGCGTGTGTGCGTGTGTGTGTGTGTGTGTGTATGTGTGTGTTTGTGTGATTATGTGCTTGTATGCGTGGTTTGCGTGGTGTGCGTGTGTGCGTGTGTGCGTGTGTGCGTGCGTGTGTGTGTGTGTGTGTGTGCGCGTGCGTGCGCATGCGCGTGTGTGTGTGTGTGTGTGTGTGTGTGTGTGTGTGTGTGTGTGTGTGTGTGTGTGTGTGTGTGTGTGTGCGTGCGTGCGTGCGTGCGTGTGTGTGTGTGTGTGTGTGTGTGTGTGTTTGTGTGTGTGTGTGTTCGCGTCAGCGTCGTGCGTGCGTGCGTGCGTGTGTGTGTGTGTGTGTGTGTGTGTGTGTTTGTGTGTGTGTGTGTTCGCGTCAGCGTCAGTGTCTGTGTGTTTGTGCGTGTGCGCTCCCCTGACTTGGGACACTCGGCGGTGATTGATGTTCGCCCAAACCCCGCTCTTACACTCGCGATGGTGTCGTCACCCTCTTGTGGGGCACCATTGCCTCCTTCGGGAGTCCTCCTCTGGGTGTCATCATGGGTGGGCAAGAGGGGCGCGATGACTACTGGAAGGGGGCAGATATCATGGCGGGGGGCGCGATATCTCCCCCGGCATCATGGCCCCTTCTCCTCATTTCAATGCGTCCCTTGCCCCCCTCCCCTTCGGCCGCGCCACGATTTGCTGCCCCCCTCTTGGACGTCCTGGTATCAGCCCGCCGCGTCGGGAAGCAGCCCGTGGGGGAAGGCCTGCCCTTCCTGGCGCTCGATTGCGGCCGCGGGGCTGCAGGGGGGCCTTGCTCGAGGGGCGCGACGCCCCAGTCCAGGGGGGGTCCTGGGGCTGCCGCGCGGCGGGCAGGTTGGAGAGGTCAATCGCCCGAGGCCATCAATCGCCCGAGGCCATCGAGGGTCGGGTATGTAGTCTAATCGATCCGTATGAGCACGTCGCACCCCGCACGTACGGATAAGAGTGAAAAGGGGGCGGCAAGTATAGCCCCCACGTGTTGCACCCACGTGGTGCCCCCAAGCCGTGCCAAGTATCGCCCGCCCACACGTGTTGCCCAGAGCGTCGTCCCCGCGAATTGCCCGCAAGCGTTGCCCCCTAGTATCGCATCCCCAAGCATCGCCCCCAGAGACCGAGCCGTCCATCCAGCCGCGCGCGCAGGAATAACTGATGACAGTTCGGACCCCCTCCCCCTGATGCGTTTCATGATCCATGACCACTTCCCGTGCGGGTGTCGCGGTCGTGGCAGGAGGTTGCCGCACACCCCCTCTGAGGCAGCAGCTACGGCCACAAATCGTGTCCCGAGGGAGTGCCTATGACCTCCCTTGGTCGGGGGGGCCCTGCGGCTAGCCCCATCCGGGCACCCAGCCAGCTGCAGAGGATCGTTTGCATTGCGCTCCGAATCTCCGAATAGGCCCGCGAAAGGGGGAGAGCCAGGAGGAGGAGGAGAAGCCTCTGCTCTCCCCGGCCTACGTACCCCTCCTCGGGGCGGACTGCGTCGTCGTCGTCCCTGTCGCCGCCACCGCCGCCGCCGCCGTCGTCGTCGTCGTCGTCGTCGCCGCCGCCGCCGCCGTCGTCGTCGTCGTCGTCGTCGTCCGTGGTCAGTGCTGGCGGTCGTGTGAGGACGAGGGCCTCGAAGGCCTGGCGAGGACCTACACGCCAGGGCAGGCGCTCCTCCAGCAGAGGCTGCCGTGGACGTTCCACGAGAGCATGGCGGGGGGTGGGGGGGCAGGCGGGGGGAAGGGGCAACGCTGGGGAGGAGAGAGAGGCTCGGGAGGAGGTCGAAAGCCTTCGAAGGCTTTTCGCATGTTTTCTCATGTGTGCTAGGCCCAGGGTGGTTTCCATAAGCTGCGCCTCGTCGGGAGCGTTCTGGGAATGGCACGGTTGATCGCCGACTCCGAGGAACATACGGGAGCAGAAAGGACATGGGGGGAAGACGAACACCCAGAACATACAGGAAGACATAGGGGGGAATTCTGGCAGGTGTGTCCGTTTATCTGTGCGTCCCTGGGTCCCTTTGCGCTGCCCTCAGAGGAGAAACATAGGGAAGCAGATAGGAGCCGGGGGGAAGACGAAAACCAAGAACGTACAGGAAAATTTAGGGGGAACCCTGGCAGGCGTGTGTCCGTTTATCTGTGCGTCCCTGGGCCCCTTTACGTTGCCCTTCAGAGGAGGAACATACGGGAGCAGATAGGAACCGGGGGGAAGACGAACACCCAGAACATACAGGAAAAGCTAGGGGGAACCCTGGCAGGTGTGTGTCCGTTTCTGTGTGCGTCCCTGGGCCCATTTTGCGCCGCCCCTCGGAGGAGGAGGGGGCGCGGAGGCAGGCGCGCCTGGCGCGTCGCGGCCTGGGTCGGGGCGACTGCCCCTCTCCAGGGGGGGCGGCGCGAGTGTGCGCCGCTGATCGCGCCGCGCCTCTCGCGCGGCGCTGCGGGCCAAGTCCTGGTGGCCTATGCTCCTCCTCCTCCTCCTCGCGAAGCGCTCTTCGTCCTCCTCCTCCTCCTTCTCCCCCTCCTCCTCCTTATCTCCGCCTCCTCCTCCTCCTCCTCCCCTCCTCCTTCTCCTCCTCCCCCTCCTGGTCGTCGTCGATGTCGGGCCGGACGAAAGGGGGGGGATAGGCCAAGGGGGGGCTACGAAGTTTGCTGCAGGCAGCGGGTTTCGGCCTCGCCGAGGACCCCGCTCCTCGATACATGGCCGCCTCCGGCGCCGGCAGGCGCCGGGAAAGTCAGCTGCGTGAGCCGATTCTCACCCCCCCCCCCTTTGCTGTCCCCCCCTTCGCCCGACCCGATACTCTATAGGGGCCGAGGTACCGTTCTGTGGCCTGTGTCCCCTGCGGGCTTCCAGGGGGGGGGGTTCTCGTCGCCACGGCCGGGTGTGCGGGGACACTCTCTGGCCGGAGCGCGCCCCAGGACAGATCCAGAGGCCGATTTGTCCTCCTCCTGCTTCTCCTGCTCCTCCTCCTCCTCCTCCTCCTCCTCCCTCCTCCTTCTCCTCCTCCTCCTCCTCCTCCTCCTCCTCCTCCTCCTCCTCCTCCTCCCTCCTCCCCCTCCCCCTCCCCCTACCTCCCCCTCCCCCTCCTCCCCCTCCCCCTCCCCCAGATCCAGAGGCCGATTTGTCGGGGGGGAGTTCAGAAGGGGAGGGGTCGATGTTGAGGTGGTCTCGGCGGAGACGAAGGGGGGGGGCCACGCCTCCATTTGTGAACGTTTTTTGTTCGGCGTTTCGACATTGGGCGGAAGGGGGGGGGTCTGGCTCCGGACCTCTGCCTAGTGCGACTGTTTGCAGCCGCGCGTCCCATGGGAGGAGACTCCACATGCTCGAAACAGACGCCCCAAAACAGTCAGGATCTGCTCCATAGGCGGGGGGGGAAGTGGGGGGGTGGGAATGGGGGTATACCACAGACCTGTTGCGTGCAGCTGGTTTCGTCCCCGCCTTGTGGCGTTCTCTTCGATACATGTCGCCTCTAGAGCTAGACTAGAAGCCGCAAGGAAATGAGACGACGTGTAGCTGATTCACCTGTCCCAATTACTACTGTCCCATTTCGTCCAGCCCAAGATGATGAGGACGAGAACGAGAGGGGAATAGTTATTGGATATTTCGGCGGTGTTGTGGCGGGCTGTCGGCGCTGGGGCGCTTTCAGCAGCCGCGCCTCGTCGATAACCTTGCGGAGAGCTGGCGTTAGTCTTGAGAGGCCGTATGGAGGCCCGAGTATGCTATGCCTCCGAGCCGACCAGAGGAGGAGGAGGGAGGTCCAGGAGAGGGGGGGGGTTTGACAGTTTGCACCTTTTGGGTCTTCGATCACCCCTTCGACACCAGGGTTGGATCTGTTCCGTTATCTTTGTCACAACGCGTTCCATCGTGTCTCCAAGATGCCTTCTCGACACAAGGCAAGTCAGCAGTCGTGATGTCCTTCTTTGGCCTGAGGTCAGTAGTAGGTGAACGGCGCATAGTGTGTGCGTCTGTGTGTGTGTGTGTTTGTTGTATTTTGTGTTGCGTTGTATGTATGCTTGGCGTGGGCAAGATGTGTTTCGTGCTTGCAGTCGGCAGACATTTGGCAGCCCTCAGACCCCCTTGCCGAGCGCCTATCTTCTGCCTGCGCTCATGCGTTTTTTCTCGGTGGCCGAGATTGCGAGCTGACTTTGGTAGAGCCAGGCCCTCTCAACCTGGGACAGGGTTCTGGGGTTTATGCTGCCGCAGCTGCAGCCCACAGAGCGCAGAGGACTTGGCATCACTCCCAAGAGCTCTTGGGACTCTCCAGAGCGAGCTTTCCTTCGGCGGTGGACGGGCGGGGACCGGAGGCTGGATGCGAGGGGAGCCCTCGGATGCCTCCTGTGCTGCAGTTTGTGGCGTCCTGCGAGCGCCCAAGTCTGCGGCAGAGGTGGTTAGCGATACAGTCGGGGCCCTGAAGAAGGAACCCTTTTCGTTGGGGAGCGGCTCCGCGTTCCTTAAGTGTTTCGCAGCTTGCCTCAGGCTTTCCTTGTGTTTTCGACAGGGAATCGAAGGTTAACTTATGGAAAAAAGGGGCCTCGTTCCTTATTTAGAGTTCCTCAGGTCAACGCCCCGACTGTAGCCGCTGGAGGGTGGCAGGAGCACATTGCCGTGGAGAGGCGCGAGGCCGCGCCTGCACGCGCCGCCCCTCCTCCATACCGCTGTCCGCACGTTGCGGCCGCCGTGGCTGGCCGGGGCGCTCCCCGTTCGCGCTCGCAGTGGACGCCCGTCAATGGGGATACACTGACACGCACTCCCACGATCCCACAAACTCGGAGGAGGAAGAGGTGCCCATACCTCTGCCCTTCCCTCGTTTTCCCCTGTTGGGGCCTCCTGGGAGGCCCTCGCCGCCATCGCTGGCTTCGCCTCGAAATCCTGGTCAGAACGCACCCCAGGAGAGGTCCGGGGAGTAGTGGTATGGGTACCTTTTGCGTTCCCTACCAACGTTCGCACGTGCGTAAGCGCTCAAGTGTTCGAGCGCAGCGGCCTGTCTGCGCGCGGGCGCAGGTGGTCGCAGGCGCACGAGCGTCGTGCACACCTCTTCCTCCGGCGCGTCGATGGAATCCATGTCATGTGTTTGAGCCGACTGTACGGGAGCGCAGGCAGCCGCCGTTGAATCTCCAGCGGACTCGAGCTCAACCGACCGTTGGTCAGAGACAACTTGGCGAGTACGGGGCGAACAGAAGGCGAGAACAAGAGAGAAGTGGAACCACGGGCGGAAGGGAGCCACCCGTATGCACACTGGGTGCGTGTTTGTGAACGTGTGCATTGATACGTACCTTTGTGACCAGGTTCGCGCTTGCCTGCACACGCACGCGTGCGCGGCCAGCGCACGCGGGCGTAGCGCATGCGGGCGTAGCGCACTGCGGGTGCACGAGAAAAAGTGGGCCGGAGGGCCCCCATCACTTGGGGGCATTGACAGGCCTCACGCAGGGTCGTCGGCAACCCGCATGAGCGGGGCTTGATTCGCACGGGGTCAGAACCTTGCGGGTGGCGGGGGTGCCAGACGTGCCCGCACTGATGTTTGATCAATCCACTCGGTTTCTCCATGAGCCGCTGAACGGCTCCGGGGTTCGCAGGGAGGTCCCTCCGTGTGTCTTTCTTCGAGCCTCGTCGTCGTCGTCCTCCTTGTCCTGCTTGTGCTCGTCGTCGCCCTCCCTCTGGAGAACACCACAACTTGTCCTCACGCCCTCCCGTTTCCCTGCTTCCCTGCTTGCTCTCCCTGCTCCATTGCTGTTCCTCTCGGGCTCTTAGGCATCATCCCATGTCTGTGCCCGTCATCTCTTTTCCTCGGCCACTCGTAAAATTGACCATTTTCGGGCCAAGAGAACTATGCACATGCATCAGTCCTGGCTAGGCCCATCCTTGGCCCCAGGATCGGTGCACATGCCTTCGTGGCCAAGGCAGGAGGGCGTATGCACCGATCTTGGTGGTTCTTTGTCCTCTACACTTTCCATAGTGACGTTTGGTGTGTGCCCACAGGGGTGCCCTCAGCACTGGCTTGCCCGCTTGGCTTTGGACCCCCGCGCCCCACTGAAGCCGCTCACCAAAGGTAACTCTTTCCGAGTTCCGCTCATGCGTCCGAGCCTTATGTCGGGCCTGTCCCTCTACAGGGGGAATACTCAAAAATGGTAAAAAATAGTCTGGGGACTATTTTTTACCATTTTGACAATTTTTGGGGGTCTTTTTTGAATATTTTTTGAATCCGCCTGTAGGGGGGACAGGCCCGACTTAAAGGTGACTCTTTCCGAGTTCCGCTCATGCGTCCGAGCCCTTGATAACTGGCGTTTCCGCCTCGAGTTGAACCAACGTTCCGAAAGCTTGCCACACCGCCTAGTTCTGGTGGAGCTGCCTAAGCTGCCTGCAGATCCCCTGCGAATCCCTGGCCACCTGTGACCGGAGAAGTAGGAGAACTCGGAAGACGAAGTTGAAGGAGGAGCAGGAGGAGATTTTCTCGTGGCTGCGTGCTCTGAGTTCCATGGTCCCGGCAACGGGAGGAGGGCAGGAAAGGAGAAGACGAGGATGAGAAGGTTTACTAGGATGGGGGCGATAGGGTGGGGGTGAGCGGGTGCGGCGGGTAGAAGGCGGAAGAGGTGGACCAGTGTAAAGCCAAGACGCAGCAACGATGTTGTAAGCAACCCTCCCTCCAAGTTCCCTCTTCACAGGTCCCTAGAAGAAGTTATGTTCACTGCGGGAAGTATCGTGAACCGTGCCAGAACATCCTCTGTGGGACTTCACCACCGCGAATTAACGTGACTGTTGCGCCCTGACAATCCTACATCGTGCCAGAACGCCGTTACTGCGACGCCAACCACAGGAGTCCTTCTTGCTGACCTAAAAACGCTTGCGACACGTGTGCGCGGCGCTGGAGCGAAAGCCACAAGTTGAGAAGGACACCGCCCTCCATCCGTAAAGCTCTTGGCAGTTTTCTGGACGGATGAAAGAGGGGGAGGAGGAGGAGGAGGAGGAGGAGGAGGAGGAGGAGGAGGAGGAGGAGGAGGAGGAGGAGGAGGAGGAGGAGGAGCAGGAGCAGGAGGAGGAGGAGGAGGAGGAGGAGGAGGAGGAGAAGGGTGGCGCCACAGCGAACGCCACATTCTGAGAGCGGCGCAGCCAAGGGCGTGCGGCGCTCAGGCGAGAGCCACGTTTTGCTTTGCGAGGGGCCCGCCCACGATCCGCGCAGCTCCCTTGCACGCCTTTCCACGAGTGTGTGTGGCGCGACTGCGAGCGCCACACGTTTGGAGACACGCCCACCGCCGTCCGTGGAGTTGCTGCCAACGTTTACGACGAGTGTGCGCGGCGCTGAAAGCGAGAGCCACGTGTTGAAGACGGCCCGCCCTCCCTGTCAAGCCGTTGCAGGCTTCAAGTTTCAAGGTCATGAGTGGTCAGGAAGTCTCAGGACGAGGACGAGGACAGGATGAGGAGGAGGAGGAGGAGGAGGAGGAGGAGGAGGAGGAGGAGGAGGAGGAAGAGGAGGAGGAGGAGGAGGAGGAGGAGGAGGAGGAGGAGGGAGAGGGAGGAGGAGGGAGGGGGAGGAGGAGGAGGAGGAGGAGGAGGAGGAGGAGGAGGAGGAGGGAGGAGGAGGAGGAGGAGGCGGCGAAACGTCAGGACCGCCCCACCGACACGTCTCGGTCGCCAGGGGGGGCTATCCATTGGCCTTCGGCCCATCCCGCCACCAGTCGGGGGCAGACAGTGAGTCGACCAGAGAGGAGGTTAGATCGGTGGGCCGTGCTTTCCCCTCGAGAGTCGCCGTTTTCGGCTCTCGAGAGGGCGCCGCGGCCGTTATTTTCCAGGCTTGCGCCCGCCAGGTTTGGGCCTCAGATCGTTTTCACTAAACCACGTGTTACTAAAGGGAGGTCTGTCCATCCCCGAACCATGCTCGGGTTGAGTAAAGGAAGCCTATTTGGGTATTCGTTGGGATCTCGTTGGAGAAGTGCCGACGACGACGAGGCGTGCCGTCTGCATGTCTCAAGTGTTTCCGATGAAGTGCCACGTGAGGCATGTTTTCTGGATGTCCCGAGTGGTAACCAAGCTTAAGGGAGGAAAAACACCCGGACCTGACAACTGGCGTTTACTAAACGGCCCTGGGCGTTTACTAAACAGCCCTGCCTTGTTTGATTCCTTCTTTGGGTGCATTTACTAAACGGCTTCGCGTGTCGGGGTGGTTATTATCGGGGTCGGTTTTCTGCCCTCTACAAACAAGTGGCACTTACGGCATGTCGTCTGTATGCTTCAAGTTGTGCCGAACAGGTACCCTTTGCGGCATGTCAGTACCATTTGACGCATGTCGTCTGTATGCTTCAAGTGGTGCCAATCATTTTTCGCTTGAGGCATGTCGTCTGTATGCCCCAAGCGGTACCAGAGGACCACTTGCGGCGTGCCGTCTGCATGATTCGAGTGGTTCCGACGGGCTACCACTGGAGGCATGTCGTATATATGCCTCGCGTGGTATCGATCAAGTACCAGAGGCTTGTCGCCTGTATTCATCAACGGGTACCACGACGACGACGACGACGACGACGACGACGACGACGACGACGACGACGTACCACTTGAGGCGTGCCGACGACGACGACGACGACGGCGACGACGACGACGACGAGGGCGACGTCGACGACGACGACGACGAGGACGACGAGGACGACGACGACAGAGAACTCTTGGGGTTGCTGGGGATCTTTTGGAGGCAGTTGTGAGGCCTCGTAGGGGGAGGGGGAGCGTCGGGGGGGGGCAACCTGAAAGCCTCTTGGGGCCTCCTGGAGCCTCTTTTCGGCCTCGTGGGCGCTTCTTGGGGCCTCTTGGGGGCCCCTCGGGGCCTCCTCGGGCCCTCGCGGGGCCTCCTCGGTTCGTGGTCCCCCTCTTGGGCCCCTCCTGTTCCCGTCTCCGGGCCCCCTTCGGGCGCCTCTTGGGCTGTCTTGTGGCCCCCTTCGGCCGTCGAGGAGCCCTCTTTGTGGACCCCTTAGGCCGTCTTGGGGCGGCCTTGGGGGCCTCTTGGGCCGTCTTGGAGCGTCGAGACGCCGAAAAGGCGAGAAGGCCAAAATCTTGCAGAGGCCCAAGGGAAGTCAGTGAGGTGTGCCTCTCGGTGCTCTCTTGAGCGGCTTCTTGGAGGCCTCGGGGGGCCGCCTTGGCGGCCTCTAGGGGCCATCTTGGACGCCTTGGAACGATCACTGGGCGTCTCGGGGTCATCTTGGACCGTCTTGAGGGCCTCTTGAGGCCCTGTTCGCCCGTCCAGCGACCCTTGGGCCCGAAAAAGTCATGCGACAAGATGGCGGGAACCAAAAGGGAAACGCGACAAGCACCTGCAGACCTCGGAAATTCGGGTCCGGGCCCCTTGAGAAACTCCTCACCACGGAGGGCTGAGGTTGCGAGGATCGGGCAAAGGACCTGAGGACACGCCCGCTCCGTGCCCAGAGGCACGGTGGCGGATTTATATGGGGAAGGAAGGGAGGAGGAGGAGGAGGAGGAGGAGGAGGAGGAGGTGAAGGAGGAGGACGAGGAGGAGGCCCGTCCCCCGTCGCCCCCACCGTACGACGTCGCCGACGAGCGACGTCGTCCCTCGCCTCCAGAGATCGGAAGGTCTCTGGAGATCTCCGCGTTGCCTCCGGAGACCCTCTGGAGGTCCTCCGCGAAGGCCTTCGACGGCCTCCTGCAGCCCTCCCGGCGACTCCTCGAGGTGTTTCGGACGCCCAGCCGCGGCGGCAGGCCTCCAGAGAGGAGACACGACGACCCCGACCACGATCTCGTGGGATACTGCCAACGCCGACCCCGGCCGTGCTCCGTGCCGGCCGTCGCCGATGCGCGAGGACCATCCACGCGTTGACGGTGGCCAGAGCTTGCTGAGCTTCAGGACGTGCGTAAGACCAGCGTGTGTTCGGCCCGCTCAGCCCCACCGAGAGCACGCAGCCTGCGTGCGTCGGCCCTCCGCCTGCGTCGCGTCGAAGGGTTTCGGTGGGCAAGCGCGCGTTGGCGCTAACACACATTCTGATGATCGTCGAACGATGGACGGTGGCCAAGATCGACACCGACGCTTCTTCTCACCACCCACCAAACCACCCCAACCCAACCCGCAGGCCCAAGGGTACCCTCGAATTCCAGGTGGGTCGGGGAGCCTCGAAAAAACACATGCGGAACCCGTACCCCTACCCAACCCGAAACTTGGGTCTTCGGGTTAGGTTGGGGTGGTCTGGTAGTTAGAGTCAAGAAGCCTAATAAGGACGCGCGACTTTGCTCAGGGTACCCTTGCGTCCTTGCTCTTCCTTGCTATTGCGCCCTTTGGGTTTTCCTCGTCGGCCGCCCCAGAAATCCCAACCTCGGCTTCAAGGGTCTCGCTTCCTTACCGCGCGTCCTTATTAGGGTTTTTGACTGTACAGGGCTCGAGGTTCTCGGACCTTTTCGTCAGTTCCCGGCGGCTTTCCAGCCTCGGGATGCTCTGCAGCGGCTGCGCCTCCCCGAAGGCGCCCTGGGGGTGCCCGGATCGCCCCGAACGGCCGCCGGAGAGCTGAGTTAGGACCCTGAAACCGCGGGTCGGTGTTAGGGGGGGGACAGGCTCAGGAGGGGGACCCGCCTTCTTCCCCTGCACGACCTCCTGGCGGCGGCCGCGCCGCCCGCGGAGGGCGTGCCGCGGCGCCTGCAGACTCCAGCACGGTGTTGACTCGTGCTGCACGCGCGGCCCCCCAGAGGGCCTCGGGGCGCTCTGGGTCCGTCACGGGGCCCCCTCTCTTGGGGCTCCTTTTGGCCCCTCTTGGGTCGCGCGTCGGCCAGCTCGGAGCTGGGACCCCTGCGGGAGGGGGAGAGGCCTGGCATCGCTCGGACGTGTGGATCTCTACTCGGCGGGAACCATCGAGGACCATCCTGGACCATCGAGCAACACAAAACACGCACGAAACCGAAAAATGCACGGGAAATGGACGTCCGAGCGATGGCAAGGAGGGGGAGAGGGGCCGCCCGTGCAGGTCGGCCGCGGCGTCTGCAGAACCCAGAACGGCGTGACTTGTTTCTGCACGCGCGGCCCCACAGGGCCTCGGAGCTCCCTGGGTCCGTCACGGGGCCCCCTCTTGGTTCCCGTGGCCCTTCCTGGGCCTTTTTCCCCCTCTCAGGGCCCCGGGGGTGCACTGGCCAGCTCGGAGTTGGGACCCCGGGGGAAGGAGAGGGGGAGGGGGACTGCCAGTGCAGTCAACCCGCATCGTAAGGATGCACGACTTTCCAGGGTTACCCTTGCACCCTTCTCCTTCGGTTCACCCTTGGCCGCTTTCGCTGGCCGCGCCCCGCTCGCAAATTGTCGGCATGGAATACCAAGGCCCTTGCATCCTTACCGCGCGTCCTTGTTGTACGGATTGACTGTATCTCACACGCCTTGTCACCCCCAGCAAGCGGGGGCCTGCGGATATTTAGGAACACGCGGCCCCGCAAGTCTGGATCCCTTCCCGGGGGCAGGTTCTCGCCCCAAACGGCAATTGTTTGATGCCCGATCACGGGCCCAAGAGGCCAGAATCGAAGAAAAAACAAGGGACTGCACAAACTCACATCGCGGATCGGCGTCGTCTGCATCGTGCTCGGCGTCGTCGTCGTCGTCGTTGTCGTCGTCGGCGGCGGTGGCGGCGTCGGCGGCGTCGGCGTCGGCGTCGTGCTCTTCGACTGAGTCGGCGTCGGCGTTGCCGCCTGCGTCGGCGTCGTTGTCGGCGTCGGCGTCCCTCTGACTGCAGCGGCATGACCCTCTGGCTGCAGCTGCGAAAAGGCGCTCTCTGTGGTCGCTTGCGGGGCCCTCCCCTGGGCGGGGGCGGGGGAATGGAGGGAAGAGGGGGGGGCCGACGACGACGGCGTCGTGCTCCGCGTCGTCGTCGTCGGCATCGGCGTCGGCGTCGAGGTCGTCGCCATCCGCGTCGGCGTCGGCGCCGGCATCTGCGTCGTTGTCGGAAAATGCTCGACGTCGTGCTCGGCGTCGTCGTCACCGTCGGCATCGTCGTCGGCGTCGGCGTCGTCGTGGGCCTTCCGGAACGCTCTCGGCGCGCTCGGAGGCCAGCGGCGCCCGATACATCTTCCACGACCGCCCAGAACTCAGAGACCCCCGACCTGTCTGGGTGCGATTTTGCCCTGACCTCGGCGTCACCCCAACATACTTGTACAATATTCGGGGGCGGAGAGAGCCCCCAACAGTGACACGTCGATTAGTGAATTGTCCGTTTTCGGTTCTCGAGAGGGCGCCGTGGCCGTTATTTTCCAGGCTTGCGCCCGCCAGGTTTGGGCCTCAGGTCGTTTTCACTAAACCACGTTTTACTAAAGGGGGGTCTGTCCATCCCCGATATATGTGCGTCGCCCCCCCCGGGGGCGATGCGCGCACCGAGAAGCCTTACAGCATATGCGTCGTGGCGGGCGCGTTCTGGCCACGCCGCTCGGGAGAGGACATGCTACAAGATGGGCACACTATATGTCTGGGTCGGACGCGCGCCTCCAAGGAGAACATCTAGCACCAGTATTCAGGAGGGAAAGAAACACAGACACAATTCATCGTCGATTCCGAGAAAATATAAGAACATATGGGAAGTGGGGGGAAGACAAAAACCCAGAAAATATAAGACAATATGGGGAATCTGGTTATTTGTGCCTATTTATTTGTGTGTGTCCCAGTTCCCCTTCAAGTATGTCTTCGTGCCTCCCACGGCCCCGCGCCCTTCGCCTTCCCCCGGCGGCGGCGGCCGCCTGCAAGAGGCCTACGGCGTGCTGCACCGCGGCGGCCTCCCGCCGAGCGCCGCCTGGACGCCGTGGCGCGCCGGCCCGGCCCGCGCGCCCGAGCGCCGGCGCGGCGGCGCGGCCGCGGGCGGCGGCCGGGGGCAGCCCACCAACCTCCTCCCTCCTCCCTCCTCCTCCTCCTCCTCCTCCTCCCTCCTCCTCCTCCTCCCTCCTCCTCCTCCTCCTCTTCCTCCTCCTCCTCCTCCTCCTCCTCCTCCTCCTCCTCCTCCTCCTCCTCCTGCTCCTCTTCCTCCCCCTCCTCCTCTTCCTCCTCCTCCTCCTCCTCCTCCTCATCCTCCTCCTCAAGGGTCGGGTGATGACTAGGGGGGGGTGGATATCATAGCGGGGGCCATGATATTTCCCCTGTTTTCACTGCGCCTCTTCTTGTCTCATTACGTCCCTGGCCTCCCCGCTGGGCCGCGCACATGCCGGCGGCCATGATTTGCACCCCCCCCTCTTGGACACCCCCCTCTTGGCCGCGGGGCGCGGCCGCGGGCGGCGGCCGGGGGAGGGGTCGGGTCGGACGAAGGGGGGGGAAAGGGAAAGGGGGGGTTACGAAATGTGCTGCATGCAGCTGGTTTCGGCCCCGCCGCTGGGCCCATTCCTCGATACGTGGCCGCCTCCTTGCGCCGGGAGGCGCCGGGAAAATCAGCTGCGTGAGCTGATTCTCAACCCCCTGCTATCCCTTTTTTGCCCGGCCCGAAGGGGGGAAGGCTTCTCTCGCCGAGCGCGATCCACTACCTGCAGAATGCCTACTCGCAAGCGTCCCAAACGCCTCGGGGGTGGACAGAACCCCCCAGCAGTGACACGTCGATGAGCGAATTGTCCGTGTTCGGTTCTCGAGAGGGCGCCGTGGCCCGTTGTTTTCCAGGCTTGCGCCCGCGAGGTGTGGGCCTCAGGTCGTTTTCACTAATCCACGTTTTACTAAAGGGGGGTCCGTCCATCCCCGAACACCATACGTTTGCCTTTGTGTAGTATATCGTAGATCCCCTGCGGCGGATCCAGGCCATGTACGAGTGGCTACTTTGCGAGTAGTGGAACGCGCTTGTCTATTCTTAGAAGCACCCCTGCTTCTCAGAAGGCGCGGGCCTTGTCTGTAGATGCCGAGCCGGCGCCTTCTGAAGAGCAGCCTCCTACTGAGAAGGCTGCCCCCCTCCCCCTACCCCCCTTGTGCGCGCCACCAGTTTTCACCATCATGTACATGTTGCGCGTACGCGGTCAGCCTCCACTGGTCTGCGTTTGAGAGCGGGCTTTTGTTCGGGTATAGCCAGGACCCCAGGTAAGGGGACCCTGTCAGTGGTAGCGCCCCGGAGCCCCTCAATTGGCCAGAATGGCTAAACCAGGTTTGCCGCAACTGGTGTTTTTTCGGGTGACGGCAGTTCCGGTTAGTGGAACGGGGCGGGGGACTCGTCCCCCGGGACGCACCACTAAACCAGGTCCCTTGAAACCCAGTTTCTCACCACCCACCAAACCACCCCAACCCAACCCGAAGGCTTCAAATTGACCTCCATTTCCAGCGGGGGGGGTGGTCGGGGAACATCGAGAAAACACATATGGAACTCGTACCCCTCCCAACCCGAAATTCGGGTCTTCGGTCTGGGTTGGGGTGGTCTGGTAGGTAGTCAGTTTCGCCGACGTCCGATTTGCGCACGCGGGGCCGAGGAGGCCATACACGTGCGTGCTCGCTGCATGCATCGGCGGCCCTCTGGCGGCCTTCCATGGCGGCCGTCCATAACGGCCCTCCACGGCGGCCCTCCACGGCGGCCTTCCATCGGTGGCCCTCCGGCCCCCGAGATGGATGTTCGCTTGGTTTCGGGTGAGGGGGAGGAGGAAGAGGAGGAGGAGGAGGAGGAGGAGGAGAAAGAGGAGGAGGAGGAGGAGGAGGAGGAGGAGGAGGAGGAGGAGGAGGAGGAGGGAGGAGGAGGGAGGAGGAGGAGGAGGGGGAGGAGGAGGAGGAGGAGGAGGAGGAGGAGGAGGAGGAGGGGAGGAGGAGGAGGAGGAGGAGGAGGAGGAGGAGGAGGAGGAGGAGGAGGAGGAGGAGGAGGAGGAGGAGGGGGAGGAGGAGGAGCAGGAGGAGCAGGAGGAGCAGGAGGAGGAGGAGGAGGAGGAGGAGGAGGAGGAGGAGGAGGAGGAGGGGGAGGAGGGGGAGGGGGAGGGGGAGTGGGAGGGGGGAGGATGTCCGCTTGGTTTCGGGCCCCTCGGCCATCGCAGATCGATCCCTTCCACGGCGGCCCTCCATCGGTGGCCCTCTGGCCTCCGAGACGTGCGCTTGGCTTCGGGCCCTGGGGCCATCGCAGCTCGATCGGGTTCGGGACGCGCAGCAGAGATGGTGGATCCAAGGGCTTTCGTCGTGAGTTTTCGCGACGCTGCGAGTTCCTTGCAACGTCATTTCAGCTTGTATTATCGGAGGTTGATAGACCTCCTACCCTGACACGTCGATTAGCGAATTGGCCTTTTTCAGTTCGCGAGAGGGCGTCGCTGCCGTCATTTTTGCGGGTCCAGGTCGTCCGTCGGTTTCGGTCCTAAGCCATTTTCACTAAAGGGAGGTTTACTAACGGAAGGTTTGTCCACCGCCGATATTAACAATTTGACTCCCCCCCTCCCGTGGCTGATGAACTGACTCCGCGGGACGCGATTCATCTTGTTGGGCTTGGAAGAACGCGCGCCAGGTTTGTCGTCGCGGGCGCCGCCGAGGGGATCGTATACATCCGAGGCGAAGTTCGTCCCCCTTATCACCTCAATTACGCGCCACAGTTGTCGTCGTCGCCATCGTCGCCGCCGTCAACCATGGGCCATGCCCAGCGCTTCGTCGTCCGTCGTCGTCAACTACTATAGCGGGCCTTCGCAGCCCCCTCCCATTACGGGCATCCGCAGTGCGTCGTCACTAGTTGTCGTCGTTTATTGCACCACCCGACACCCACCCACACTCCATGGGGCATTCCCAGCGCGTCGTCGTCCGTCGTCGTCGCCGTCGCCATCGTGGGTGCGGTAGTAATGGCGACGACGATGACGACGATGACGATGACGATGATGTTGTTGATGGTAATGTCGTCGGTGATGACGCGGAGGAGGAGTATGATCATAATGAGGGTGATGACGATGATGGTGACGGTGCTGGTTGCGATGTTGATGGCGATGGTAGTTTTGCTGGCGCCGGTGAGGCAGGTGATGATGATGTTGATACGTACTGGAGGACGGGTGATGCAGTATAGCAGGTGCGTGGTATATGGCAAAAAGCCTTATATGATGAGGAATGTGATGTTGATGATGATTGGTGGCGGGTGGTTGTTGGTGTGTGATGCGTGAGTGTTGCACTGTTAATTGGTGGTTATGATTGGTGGTGGACGGTGATTATGACGACGCTGATGGGTGATGGTGAGATGGATGGCCATGACGATGGTGATGATTGTGATGATGGTGGTGCTGATGATGGTTGTCGCTGTGGCGGTGGTGGTGGTGGTGTTGGTGCGTCTGTGTGTGTACGCGTGTGTGTGTGTGGGTGTGTGTGTGTGTATGTGCGTGTGCGCGTGAGCCCGGTATCTTGTGAAGGTCATTGTGGTGGTTGTCATGATGGTGTTGGTGCTGGTTGGTATGACGAGTCCGATGCTGGTTGGACACAAAGGGATGGGGGGTGGAGGACAAATTCTTCGTCATCATCAGAATAACAACTTTAGTGTGTCATGTGCTGAAGAAGGGAAAGTGGCCCCCCACACCCGCTGAACTTGTGCTCGAGCTTTTGAGGGGCACGTGCCGCGGCCGTTCGATTTCTCTCAGAACTCTCGCGGCCGCGCTTTGTCGGCCCTAGCGGCGCCCGTCGGTTTTGGAGCTGCCGCTCCTGTGGTTGCGGCGGCACCGCCCACTGGGCCTGGCTCGTGGGCGCCAGGGCGGCGCGTGCCGCGTGCCTGGACAGGGGGTCGCGCCGCGGGTCGGAGGTCGCTGGACGTCACGACCGCGATTCGGCAGGCGAGCTCGACGCCGCTGGCCGATAGGCTGATCAAGGGGC